GGGTCTGCCCGAGGGAAGCCCATCTGGGAGTCCTGGCTGCCGGACCACTGCCAAGAATGGAGGCCTTCGGGTCTGGGGCAAAGAGGTGAGCGTAATGGGAGGAAGGTCAGAGAAAGCAGGCAGAATGGCCTGAGAGTTCTCCCTACCTCTTTCCGGCACATTCTGAGACTTTCACATCTCCCAAATGGGCCCAGGATTAGGAGCTGTGCATATAAAGGTGTTAGAAAAGTGGCATGTGAAGGGTAGCTGAGGTTCTGACCCAGACTGGGGGGGCACAGGAGGTGAAGTGTATGGGGGGCTGGGGCTGTTAATTCCAAGGAAGACAGAAATATGTGTAGGACTAGAGAGAAAATGCTAGCAAAAGAGGCCCTACAGAGGGCTTTTCCTAACACATCAGCTAGAAAGACATCCTTTACTGCACCCTCCTGGTTCGCCACTGCTTCCAGGAAGAAGTCCTAGTCTTCAGACCTGGAATTTAAGACTCTGCCTGGGTCAGCCAGTGGTGTGATAGTTAAGGTGGCTGGATCCCACGTGGCTGAGTTCATGGTTCCAATCTAAGACCCCATGGCTTGAAAATCATGCTGGGCACATATGTGTGTGTGTGTGCCCAAAATCCCAAGAGGAGAATGGAGGAGAAAGGACTGTAGCATGGCCATTCCCCGGGGGGTGGGGTTATTTCTCACATTCTCTCTACCCTCCCAACCCAGCAAGTACATGCACCCTAGAGAAAAACTTAAATTAAAAAAAAAAAGTAAATAAAAAGACCCTGCCTGGGAACCAGCAGTTAGCATAATGGCTATGTCGCTGGACTCCCACGTAGTCGACCGCGGTTCACGTCCCGGACCCGGTGGCTTAAAACACACCAGGCGCGTGTGCGTGCGTGCCCAAGATCCCAAGAGGAGAATGGAGGAGAAGGGATTGCGGCGTGGCCATCGCCCCTGGGGGGTGATTTCTCGCTTTCTGTCTCTCTGTCTCTCTCTGTCTGTCTGGCGAGCGCACGCACCCTATAGCAAAAAAAAAAAAATGTCTCCAAAAAAAAAAAAAAGACCCTGCCTGAACTGTCTGCCCCAACATGTGTATGAACCACCCAAAAAATCATCCCAACAGCCACCACCCACAAGAACAAGGGCTTCATTTTGTCCACAGCCTGGGAATAGCAGGCATGTAGGATGTATTTAATAAATAGTATAGTAGTTAAAAACACAGACTAAAGTTAAAATTGTCTGGGTTCAAATACCATAACTTCAGTTTACTAAGAAATTACTTAGGGGCCAGCAAGTGGCATGGTGATTAAAGGCGCTGGACTCCCACATGGCCGACCACGGTTCAAGTCTCAGACCTGGTGGCTTGCTTTCTCACTTCCTCTCTCTCTCTCTCTCTCTCTGATCAAACTGGAAAATAATAATGACAATAATAATAAAGTTAAAATAAAATAATTCTTTAAAAAGAAAAGAAGTTACTTAACTGTTCTTTGCCTCAACTTCCTCATCTATAAAACAGGAATAACAAGAGCACCCACCTCAAAGGGGTCTTGTGATAAATAAAGAGGTGATACCATGTAAAGCACTGACTCCTAGCAGATGGTTGGCATTCATCTTAACCAGAACTTATGCCTGCTGTCTTTCAAAGGCAGATATGCCTCACAAATGAGGAGAGAGAGTCAGAAAATGGAAATGACTTATCTACAGTGTACAGTAAAGCCCATACTCAAGTTGTGGTGCTTCTGCCCCAAATCTCCAGTCCACTCTTTTTTTTTAAGAGGATTTTTGCTATAGGATGTGTGCGCTCACCAGAAAGACAGAGAGAGACAGAGACAAAGTGAGAAATCCCCGCCCCAAGGGGGATGGCCACACCACAATCCCTTCTCCTCCATTCTCCTCTTGGGATCTTGGGCACGCATGCACACGCGCCCGGCGTGAGTTTTAAACCACCGGGTCCAGGACTCAAACCGCGGTCAACTACATGGGAGTCCAGCAACATAGCCATTAGGCTAACTGCTGGTCCCCCCAGTCCACTCTTCACCAAGACAATTCCTATTCACCTTTCAAAGCCCAACCTCCCATGTCCAAAGCCTTTTGATTATGCTCTCCTTAATACCTCCAGTGAGAACTAACAGTTCCCTCCTCTGATCCTTGAACACACCCTCAGAGTCCCCTTACTTGCACAGCTGGGGGCCAGTGCCCCGGGTGAGGACAGGGGTGGCAGGTACACTTCGCCCCTCAAAACTGGAGGCACTCCTGGGCAGCGAGCGTGTTGGGCTAGACAGAGACAAGCAGGCCTAGATCAGGGCCCAGGTTAGAGACCATACCCAGTAGCAGGCTCTCCTGCCAGCCCAGACTCAGGATCCCATTCCTGACTCCTGGGGAAGGGAGGGAGGGGCTCATCCTCACCTGGTAGGGCTGGCCACAGAGTTCCGACGGCTCTTCAGATCCCCATACAGATCTGATGGGGGTAGTTTCCATGGAGTTCGCCGCTCTGGGCTCCCTCCAGATACTGCCCGCAGCTGGTCCCAGGCCTTGGGTGGTGAGGGGCGCTCAGCCAGAGAGAAGCAGCCACGGGCCTCCTCTGGGTGGAAGAAAGTAAGTGGGGGAGAATTCAATCGGTGGGGGGGGATGGATGGGTTGCAGACAAGGCAAAGAGTAGGGGCCAGGGAAGCAGGGGAGGGGCAGATTGCTGGGACAAAGTTAAGCTGCTGAGGAGGAGCTAAGGGATGGGGCAGGGCAAAGAGCGTAGGGAAGGCATGGAGGGGTAGGGGTGGGGTGAAGCTAAGAAGAAGAAAGATGGGGCATGGCTGAGGAGGAGCTGAGCATCAAGCAATGGACTGAGGGGACACATAGGAGGAGCCTGGGAGCAGGTTTGGGGATAGGAGTCCTCACCATTATCATGGCTGGGTCCAGACTCTGAGAGGGAGCTGCTCTCTGAGTGCAGAACTACGTCTTCTACAGGTGAGGAGGGGAGAACAGGGCCTATCACTCCAAAGTTTGGATACCAGCCCCTTAAACCTCTGGATGGGCCCCTCCACTTAGCCCACCGTCTGGGCAGTCTCGTCCTCACCTTGTTCCCTTCCCAAGAACCCACTTCTACCTGAATCCAAGACTACCATCAGCTAGGTTCCTCAGCCCCACCATGGCCCACACTTTCCTGAGAGCCAGTTGACCACAGTTGTTCTTTGCCAGCTGACTATAATTTTTACCGGTTGGTGCCCTTAAGTTTGGCCCATGGATCTATCCCACCCCTACCATGTCCCTTAGCCAGCATGGACTCCCAGGCCCACTCTCTCACTCCCCCTGCTGCCCTAATGGGGCTGGGCTTACCTTGGCTGAGCTGAGTGTGCCGCGTGCCCAGGCAGACTCCCTGGGCAGTGAGAACTGGCCCTGTGGACAGTGGCTGGGGTGATGTGAGCACTGGGAGGCCGAGGCGAGCCCGGACATCCCCCAGCTGCTCCTCCAACTCATGCAGCCTCCGCAGTGCATCGGCCTGGACCTGGCGCCGGCGCCTGCGCTGCTCGGCGCTCAGATCAGGGGCCAGTGCCAGGCGGCGGGCGGCGGCTGCAATCTGCTGCTGCACTGACACTTCACGCTCCAGGGCCTCAAGAGCCAGCTCCTGTGAAGCCCACCCAAGAGGGGTGGGACAGGACAAATGTTGGAAACCGCCCAGCATAGGGCCCAGGTGGTACCAGGCGGAGTGTGCTAGTCCTGGAAGTGGGGGATATTAACTTAGAGGTGGAGCTTATTTATCCTCTTGGGACTGGGCCTGTTCTTCTTGAGGGTGGGAAGCCTGTCAGGACTTGACTAGTATGGACCAGCATCCCCCCCTCATTCCAGGAGCCCACTTCCTTACGCGCTATCCCTTCTCTCCTTCCCCTGGCTGCAACCTTCTTCCAGGCTCCTTTCTTGAATCTGCCCCTGCCCCACAGCTAGCTCTCCAAACCCATCAGCTCACCTCTGCAGGGCACAAGGAGTGGTGTGCTGGGTTGGGATGTGGTGCAGGGTAGGCGCGGGCTGCAGGGGGCCGCCGTCGAACCAACTGGGGCCGTTCACCAGGCTCCAGTGGGCACTCAGGGGGCAGATGGCCAGTCAGCTCCTAGAGTGGGCAGGGGCCAAGAGACTAGCAAGGGTTAGGTGGGAATAATGAACCCAGAAGCTACAGAAGTCCTACTAGGAGCCTGGCCCTACTCAGCACCCCCTGAACACATTATTTCTCTTCTTCCTTCCAATTTCCCCAACAATCAGTGTACAGTGTAGACTTGCAGCCTCTCCATGGTGTAAACTCCTAGGGCAGTGGGCATGGAGCATAGGGAAGCCTGCTGTGGACTTCAGAATTTTTGAGCTTTTATAAAGGTGCCATAGGGCCAGCAGGTGGCATGGTAGTTGAAGTGCTGGACTCCCACATGGCTGACTATGGTTCGAGTTCCAGCTCTGGCAGCTTGTTTTCTCACTTTCCCTCTCTCTCTGTATCTCTCTGGTCAAATTAAAATAATAATAATGATGAGTAAAATTAAAATAATTACTTTATTTTAAAATATTTTATTTAACGTTATTTTTTAAATTTGACCAGAGAGATACAGAGAGAGAGGGAAAGTGAGAAAGCAAGCTGCCAGGTCTGGGACTTGAATCATGGTCAGCCATGTGGGAGTCCAGCACCCTTCACCACTATACCACCTGCTGACCCCCAAATTAACATAATCTTTTTGAGAGGTTTTTGCTATAAGGCGCGTGTGCTTGCCAAAAAGACAGAGAGAGACAGAGACAGAAAGTGAGGAATCACCCCCCAGGGGGAGATGGCCATGTTGCAATACCCTCTCCTCCC